TTTAGTTTGGATAGTTTCCCTCACTTTCTGTCCTTGTGCTTCCCTTACAAAAATCGGGTATATTGACATCACAGGGACACAAAGGCATGAAAAGCAATTAAAAACACCCTCAGAAATTCCAACTTTTTTGTGTCCCCATTCCGGCAGGAATTGGAAGGAAATCTCTTCAAAAGGCACAGAGATAACAATAAAAAAACCTTACAGAAGTTGTAACCCATCCCTGCTCCATCCAAACTAAATTAAAAAGTAAAAAAGAAAAAAAAGCTTTGGCTGGAGTTGGGCTGAAAGCATTGCACAATAATGCCATTGGGATTGATTTAATAAAGAAGCTGTTTTCTTAGAGAAATAAATCAAGCAAATCTGTGTTCAATTAAATCATACCAACATGTATCTGTATTTCATTTCTACAAGCTTGGTTGGGTGTTGAAAATGATCACTTGCTAAAGTATTTTATATACCAGATACCAACTATAACAATAACAACACTTCTGGGTGAACTGACCTATACGTGGCCATGGTACCTAAAATGCTCAGCAATGCATGTATTATTTTCACATTTTTATCAAAATAGTTTTATTCAGTAAATACAATATTTGTAAATGTCTCCTTTTTTTGTTACACTTGAATGAAACTGAAAACTGACTTGTGTAGAAATATTTTAAGAGAATTAAAACACCAACTTAAAATCAATAAAATATGCAAATTTAATAAGGGTATTACTAAACTGAGTTGGCTAATTAATTTGATGTTTAGCAACATCAATTTTTTTTAACTGTGATAAAGGTGAAAAAGTAAACTCTCAACTGCAGCACTGTGTAAGAAAGTGATTCCAAAAAATGAATGTGACAGTTTGGTACCTCAGTGTAAATTTTTAGATTGCCTAAGGACCAGATTGAAAGAGTAAGAGGCATTGTGTGGCCCGAAATAGCACCAGTTTGATATACACGATGCAGGGGCGCAGATTTCTAAATGAGTAACAATAAAAAGAAATCAAGCCATGTTTTAGCTGTGTTCACGGTCTGGTTTCAGAATGAACGGGTTAAATGACAGGTCCAACCAGAAAGGATATTTTGCTCATGGGTAGTTACCATAAGTTTCAGTCATCAGTCATATTGTTGCTCTCTGGGACCCCAGCATGAAAATCTTAGAGATCACCACTTTAACCTAACATCTCATTAGGCTTTATTTTGAATGGCAGCATGTGCCTGGAGGATCCTGAGTTTATTTGTATAAAAATTTGATCAGTGGAAGTGTAACATCATTATTCCAGCTAAGAAAAATGTTACCATTACAGGAGTGAATTGGTAAGGACAGGGAGGCTAGGATAATCAAAGGGAGTCCTTATTTCTGAAGTATTCAAGAGTAAAAAGAAAACTGGGGTAATCAAACCTACATGCAACTATCAAAGATTAAGGGGTCTATTCACAAAGCTGCCGTAGCAGCTATTCACTTCAGGCTTGTACGGCTGAAATCAGCCGTACATCGGGTGGCTTCGGGTCGGCCAACCTGAAGTGCAGAAGGAGTTCGACTCAGCCAATCCAACATCTGCATCGGCTGAGCCGAACCTCCAGCAGGCTACTTGCTGCTGTTGGGCCTATTCTCATAGATGCTGAGCGGCATTCGGCTCGGCTATTCTGCTCGGTACCTCTGTACCGAGCAGAATAGAAAAACAGTTAAAAAAGTAGAAATAAAATAGAAAACGATTGGGTGGAGTGACAGCAGTGACAGCTAGCTCCACCCAACTGTTTTCTATTGGCCGGGACCAGCTGTCATTAGAATTAAAGCTTGTCGGAGCTGCCGGGGATATGAAAGCCGACTCTGCTAAGCTCTCATCCTAATGACAGAACAGTGTCTGCTAGTCCTGGGGCCGAAACTACACGAAGGATCAGCCGAAGCTACGGCTCGATCCTTCGGTAGCTCTGTGAATAGACCCCTAAGTTTTAGGAACTTGCCAAATGCGCTTGTTTTTTAATCTAAGACAATATGTATAAAGAAAGAGATAAACAAAATAATACACAAACTATGTCTGACTGCACCTTTAATGTAATTAAAAAATATCTGCCATTTTATCGAAATATTTCAAGGTTGGATACAGCTACATAACACATGTGCATTTTCAAAACCAGTTGAGAGAAAAATCTGGTACAAGCACGACCCATGCAGTTTTATGTTTTTGTGGCACCAGTAATGCCATTTTTAATTAATATAATTATCATGCATTCAAAGTTATTAAAAGTATTGGGACATTGAAATCATCAAGAAAATGCCGGTTTAATACACAGTATGTCACCTGGTTAAAAAGATATGGTAAAAAGTTTTAAAAACAGAGTTCAAGCCCTGTATTTTTTTATTTCTAGAAAAGGGTGATGTATATTTCCTTTAAAGCCCAACTGAAGTTAAAAAAAACTATAGAGATTATAGGCTATTATAGACTATTGAATTAGCTGGAAACTTAAAGTGACACTAAACTCCTGAGGAATATGTTAAAAATGCATTTAAGTCCCTTATTAAGAAAAATTTATCTTATTTGTGCATCACTTGGCTGTAGATCCTCAAATCATCTCTGAATTGGTGCTGACACTGTCCTTCCTTCCGGAGGATGACTACTTTTGTTCCCCATGGTTACTGTGTGTGCTGTAAAGTAGCCACCGCTCCAAGCTCACTCCCATGATAGACTACAAGCTCACTACAAATTAGTAAATTAAATGTGAGACTGTAGTCCATCACAAGAGCAAGCTTGGAGCAGTGACAACTTTACAACACACACAGGAACCATGGGGAACAAAAAGTAACCACCCTCCAGAAGGAAGAACAGTGTCAGCACCAATTCAGAGATGATTTGAGGATCTAAAGCTGATTGATGCACAAATAAGATACATTGTTGTTAATAGTTAAGGTACTTGAATGTATTTTTAAGATTCAACCCCCAAGTTAGTGTCACTTTAAAAGTAAGTGTCTTACTGTTGTGAATAGCACACATTCTCCCCAGGCCTAGCCCCAACAGCTGCTGGTCTGTGAGCAGTGGTCTCTTTGCAGTGGTCTGAAATGCAGAAATTACCCTCCATCCTCCCGAGTCACAGATACAGCTCTTCAATCAACCAGAAGCATGTGCTTTGCTGATTGGAGAACTCTGTCTGTGACTATGAACCACTGCAGATAGACTCTTGCTGGATAACAGCAGTCCTCTCTGCAACCTGTTCTTAGGGAAAAGGAGATGTATTTTTTAAACTTCAGTTGGGTTTTAACTGGATACTGAAGAGTGGAGAAGCCTTGCTTGTCTCTCCTAGTATGGCACACAAGAAGGCTTTCCTCTTACACTAAAAAGAGACCTTGTTTCTCCAAAATTGTGTCATGTAAATGACTGCTTAAGAACAACTACTTGCGGAGTGTTAAAATTCTGCTTTCATCTCCTCTACATATTTTCCAATGTCTGTACAGATCTGTACTATGTTATCACGCCTTAAGCACCATAACATTAAAATGACACTAAAAAATACAACATAGTAAATTAAGTTACTTAGGAGAAAAGGAGAAAAGTGCTGCTTAGCAACAACTGCAAATATTGAAATCAGAAGTAACTTTTTTTTTTTAAATTTAATATCTTTAAGAAAAAAAAGAACATTACAATTATTTAATTATATCTTTTTTTGCTACGTTCACTTATATTTTTTACTTATAGATTATCTTTACACCATTTTTTCATATGGTTACCAGGTAGAACCAATATGAATAAAATACTGAACAGCACAGTAATATTTTTTGCCAAAATATTTTTTTTCTTTCTAAAGCAATTATTGTAATAAATATTTTTTTTTTTTTTATCTACAACGTTATAAATAATAACATTTCAAAAGTGCTGAATATTAAATTCAGAATATTCAGTAACCTCACTGTAAACATAAGCTATTCTTCTACTTTTTAATTTATTGTTTGTTTAAATGATATATTACCTTAAATACCAACATAAGTAAAATATTTGCATAGGGAGCATATAATAGCCCTTTTAATCCATTTATCCTGATTTCTATGCAAGATACATATGTAAAATATTTTATGATACATGTTGTCATGTATGTAAAACATGCAAACAAAAATCCAATGCTTCAAGTAAACGTTACTAAGCCTGTGAAAAATAAAATAAATAAAAGGTTTCCAAATGTTACATATAAGTAAACTTTTTCTTAAATTATATTTTATTTTTAAAATATTAAACTATTTCTGTTACTTTTTTTGCTGTAATACATTATGGTAAACAACACTATTAAAACTGGATGACCAGTTTTATTTAAATCAATGTATGTATATGACATCTGAAATGTACATAAAAATGCTTCTTTCTCATAACAACAATAAACAATATCAGCTCAAGAGTTTTGGTCATCCAGACATATATCCTTTTTTAAAATGGTTTGTGCTTCTTTGACATTGCAAACTCTGTAACAAAAATAAAAGCCGCAGTTTGGCAGTGAACATCTGAGAATTACAGCTTCTATCTCCTTCACTTCCATCAAAGGTTATCTTATTTATGTATTGGCTTTGCATTATCTTACTTCTAACACCAAAAAAAGCCGTTTACAGTAGTCTTGTCAATACACATTCTCAACCAAGAAATGCAAACCAAAGTTTGCTGCCATTTTGCTTTCAAAGTAACACTGTTTTCCACATAAAGTAGTGCCAAGCACATATTTGATGTATATTGCAACACGTGATTGGTGAGTAGAAGATAACCTCATTTTTTGCACATGCAGTATGAGATAACATAGTTGCTTTGTAGTCCATCAAATAGATCATTGTTTTGTACACTCAAGTGAATTGTGTAAAAGACAAACGTGGCAATTCCAGTGTTGTATATTTCTCAAACTCAAGCATGAAAGACCTTGGGAAATGGAGACAGAAAGCAGTTTTCTTTTTTTTTTTTATTTATTCTTCACAGTAGCCTGAGTAGTGCACGACCAGAGTTCTCCAGGAACTCAGCGTCTGATGTTATTAAACTACGTTTATTTTTTGTTCTATTGATAAAAAGAAGAACATTTTGTGTCTTTAAATGGTTCAGCTAAGAGTCAATAGTGGGGCTTTCTGTACTCTCAAGAAAAGTCTTATATACTTGTGAGTTCAAAAACCTTGGAAATGAGTCTCTGTGCATCAGTGTGTAAATCTGTAGTTGAGCATCTTCATACATGTGTGGGGTTGGATCCAGCAAATTCCTGTTGATTACTTCCCGGACTCTGGAATCGAGGCTGACCTATAAACACAGATTATTTCAGTAAACTGATTAGGCATTTTAAATACAGACCAAAATAAAAAGAAAGAATGATAATGGGAACCCTATATGTACACTGCCTGTCCCAAAAAAAGTCACCATCTGGATTTAGCTAAGCAAATAGGTGAGAGCCTTAAGAAAATAGGTCTAGGTTCAGCAATGTTATGTCCCCAAAAAATGAGGTCAGCTGCCTACCTGAATGACCAGGTTTTTCTATCAATTGATTTTTTTCTTCCCTGATGGCACAGGCATATTCCATGATGACAATGCCAGGATTTAGCGGGCTCCAATTGTAAAAGAGTGGTTCAGGGAGCATGAGACATAGCAGTCTATTCACAAAGCTGCCGTAGGCAGCCGAGTGAATAACCGACCCGAAGTGAAGGGAGCAGAACGCTGTTCGGCTATTCACTTCAGGATTGTGCGGCTGATTTCAGCTGTACACCGACTAAAATCAGCTGTACACCGACTAAAATCAGCTGTACATCGGCTTGCTTCGGGTCGGCCAAACATGTTCGGCCGACCCGAAGTGCAGAAGGAGTTCGACTCAGCCGATTCAACATCTGGATCGGCTGAACCGAACCTCCGGGAGGCTACTCGCTGCTGTTTGGCCTATTCTCATAGATGCCGAACAGCAGTGAGTGAATAGCCAAATGCCCCCGAGCAGCATTCGGCTCGGCTATTCTGCCCAGTACCTCTGTGGTACCGAGCAGAATAGAAAAACAGTTAAAAAGTAGAAAAAATTAAATAGAAAAGGATTGGGTGGAGCTAGCAGTGGCAGCTAGCTCCGCCCAACTGTTTTCTATTTGTCGGGCGGTTCTGCAAAGTGAAATAGCCAATAGGAATCTAACTATGCATTCCTATGCTGGCTTTTTTTTCTGACTGAGGCCCCATGTCAGAAAAAAAACCAGATCGCAAGGAAAGGTTTACTCTGCTCGATCGAGCAGAGTAAACCTTTCTGGGAGAAAGTGTTTCTTTCCTGGGCGGCCAGAAGCCGTATTAGACTCCCAGAGTGTCCGGGAGAGTAATGACAGATTGGCATCCCTGGTTACCAGGGACGCCATCTGTCATTACGCACTGAGAACCTGGAGAGGCCATTGTGATATCATAGTGGCCCCGCCGGGTTCTCAGTGTATAATGACAGATGGCGTCCCTGGTTACGTGGTAACCAGGGACGCTGTTCTCTCTGCAAGTGGCTGGAGCCAGCCGTGAGATGACGGCTGGCTCCGCCCAGCTGTCAGAAGCAGGCTGTCGGCCGGCCAGCTTCGGCTTTCACTGCGGCTCAGTCGAGCCGAGGCATACGCCTTCGGCTCAACCGAGCCGCTCGGCCAACTTCGGGAGCTGTACGGGCTATAGTGAATAGCCCGTACAGCAGCCCTTTGGTTCTACTGAACCGAAGGGGTCCTGGGGCCGAAACTAGCCAAAGGATCAGCCGAAGCTACGGCTAGATCCTTCAGCAGTGAATAGACCCCATCATTTTCACACATGGATTGCCCACCACAGACTATGAGACCTTAACCTCAGTGAAAATCGTTGGGATGTGCTGGAGAAGACTTTACGCATCATCATCATCAATAATGCAGCTCCGGGTTGGAAATACATTTGTTGACATTGCATAGGCTAATTGAAATGATGACACGACAAATGTATGCCGTAATCAAAGATAAAGGCTATCCAACGAAATAGAGTGTGTGACTTTTTTTTTTTTTGGACAGGCAGTGTAAAACATTTAATTTTAGAAATTCATAGTTGGCTGCAAATTAAACTAGAAAGGACATTTTTATTAACACTAAAGTACACAAATGTTTGTGTAGCCTTCATACACGTTATTGCATTTAAAGAAAACAAAAAGGTTAAGGTTTGTGCAGACTTACTCATTAAGAAAACCATTATTACGTTGTAATTATTAAGTTATTCCATGATGGCGTTTAAGCTGAACTCCAGGTAAGCACCTAAATATATAGTTGAAATTCATAAGCGTGAACTATCTTATCTTGCAAAGTTAGTAATTCTGTTCAACTTTTGATGCAGACACCCTGGCAATACAACACAGGCAGTAACTAGCCTTTCCCTTGTAGTAACTGTTTAAATGCCATCACTGTGACTAACGCACACCGGCAGCTGTGCGTTGTAGTGCAGCCATCAATGTGAATGACACCTTCTGGTAAACAAGATAAAGAGGCTATGAAAAAATATATATTCATACTAGTTTATAAACCTCTAAATATAAAAAAAACTTTGTTAATATTTTGACTTAATCAATTAAATCTTTTCTTAGTAATATAATAAAATGAATCAAAAAAGCATTATAATTGTGTCCAGGACACGCGCCCAGCATGCTCACTGAACAATGAAGGAGCAAAATCACACTGATGAGTCATCTCTCCTTTGTGTTAGACCTAAAGTAGTATTAAACCCTCCAACTTTTTTTCTATGAATTAACTCATCATGCAGAAACATTCCCTATTCCTTGTTTTTAGTACATTTGTGTCAGACTTACTATTTTAGCTCCTCACTGCCCCCAGGTTCTGCTTCCGACTAGGGGAGCACATGCACAGAGAACACAGTAAGGTTTGGGGAACATGCACACTGAGAACCCAGGGGGAAGGGGGAGCAGGGAAGTGGCATGCTGCTCTGGGTTTAAGGGATAGCCATGTCAGTGTATGCAGGCTGGGAGCCGTAGTCAAGGGTGGCTTCATAAGACCTTGCACTCAGAGGACAAGCTTAATCTAGGGAAAGGAAAACTTCAAGATCAAGAAGCAGGACAGATGCTATATAGATGCTACAGATATTGGCTATAGATATTGGTACAAAAATAGCCTTTAATATTACTGTAAAGCACTGTGCCATGCAGCAGAGCCTGGTTGGTCCTTAGTGCTGGCTCTCACAGTTTAAGTTTTACTGTGCAGGGTTTTAGGAATTGCATCTATTTTTTTTTTAATGTATTTTGCTACCAGTGATGTCTGCATCCTAGGTTAGCATATGGGTTTATTGCCGACATGGCTTTCTGAATACAATAGCTGGCAGTGGACATTCCTTTCATCTGCGCTGTTTAGCATGAATTGGGTAGTGAATTTATGTTTTCTGTTCAGCCCCTGAGGCTGAACAGAAAAATCAACATGTGTGTGGCTAGCCTGGAGAGATCTTTTGATTATTATACATTTATTTAGCCCTATCCAAGAGCTCAGTTCTAAAAATCTGAATAACTCAATAATGATGGCCTGCATTACACAGTTATTATAATTACTGAAAATTATGCTGCATAGAGAGATTTAAAAAAAAGTGCAAACATGCCTTACAAACCTTGGGATATGGGACAGTTATTAATAATTTGTGTCTCTATTGGGGCTATAGTGTATTTTAACTCTGTGATCAGTAAAAGAGAACTATGGGGTAACCTTTTTATCCCATAGTTCACTTTAGGGTCAGAGAAAGACATATACTAACATCCTCCTGTGACCCAAAGCTCAGTATATACTGAGAGAGCCACAGCCGGGACGGATCCTGATAATATTGCCGAGATCCACCCAGCTGGCTCATTGACAGCGGGCTCTGCCTATCTAGACTGACAGTCACCGCTCTCTGCAGGGAATTGATCGTGAAGGGAGGGAGCGATGGTATGTGTTCGTTCACTTCCCGATCAGTAAAGCCAAAGTGTGACAGTTTCAATGTCAATCATCGGCTCTAACTATGTAATTGTAAATCACTCACCTCATAGTTCTCCTTTAAGCTGACTAGGTGCCCATAGACATGAATTCATACATTTCCAAACAATTATGACATTAATATCCTTGTTGTTCTTGGCCAAACATTTGCTGCTAATACTCAGAACACACATCCATGGCACTGACCTCATCCTGGGAAAACCATAGAAATCAACTCAGAAATACCAATCCTGGTGACTATTTCTTTCTCCAAAACAGTCAGCCACAAGGTAACTGTAGAGGTCACTCATAGGCAAGTGACGGCTTTCTAATCTAACTGTATTTAGTTAGTTTGGGTGATGATTACCGGTATCTCCTTTCTATGGGCACCTTTCCTGGCACTGATGCAATGGCCAAACTAAGAAATGTATTTTCTTTTGTATGCAAGTCTCAGGAGGTGTAATAGAAAATGTGCATAGATTTGTTTCCAAAGCATGTTTTATCTAAAAGAGATAGCTGAGATTGATGCTGAGAATACAATTAATTTAACAAAGTCAACTGTTTGATATATATAAACTCTTTTTCACAGGTATCCTTTTAATTTCAATAAAAAAAAAGAAGCAAGAATACAAAATATTCTAAAGGAGTCTGGGTAGGTGCCAGTGTTGGGGGAAGAATGCAAGGTATGCTTTCAAGCTCAAACTTTATAACCAATATTTAACCTTAAACTCAACTCCACTGTCTCTAGGAGCGTATCTACACGCCTCTACCTACGGATATAAAATTCACAAATAAATGCACATTTGCATTTTTTAGAAAAATAAATGTATTTTTTCAAACCCAAGCAGTATCAGAATGTGACCTGGTATCAGCCTCTTGCCATCTCAGTACAGCAGAGATCCTGCCAGCTAGTTGTGCAACAGTGCTCATGTGTTAACAAGGAACATGCTGATAGTAGAAGAGCAGAGAGCCAGAGAGCTCATTACTCTGCTGCTTCTGCTTTTACTGTCCAGTCACAGGCTGGGCGTGGGGCAAGATCTGTGTTATTTGATTGCAGCAGAGAAGAATCCGGTCTTATGTCCTGCAACAAATTGCTGTGCTCTGTAGCAGAGCAGTTAAAATCTCAGGAATAAATGGACAGAAATACAAACCCTTTGCCAGGGTAAAACAGCTCCATTATATGTGTATTTAGCATTTTCCTGGAGTTTAGCTTTAATGCCCCCTTTTCCCTGCAGTTTATACTCCTCTTTCCTTCACTCCACCTGCCACTCCGTTCAGCAACCAGGTTTAAAGGAAGGCAGCCCTGTGAGCTTACCCGGAGCTGAGGCTCTCTTCACCCAAATGAGACAACACCAGGCAAATCACCAAGTACCAAACTGTTGCATCAAGTGAGCCACATGCTTCTCCATACTCAGAAGAACCAGGTATTTTTAAAAGGTTGGCTGGTTGAATAAAGAGGTGGGGGAGAGCTTTGTCTTGCATTGAAAAAGCACAGGTTTGCTTTCATATCTTTCTTGATTTTCCTGCAATTCAGTGTATTTCTGTAGATATTTTGTTGTATTTAATATAGTTCACTTTTCATGCTTAGAAGTGCTTATTTTAATTAATATTAATAAAATGGAAATGAAGTATATTAACTTATGTAATGCAACTCCACTATTTAAATGTATTCCTCAAAACGATTTTCTAATATGTTAACCCTATGCCTCATCTTGATCTTTTCACATGCACACCATGATCAGGAAAAAAAAATATGAGAGGATAGAGAGATAACATTAAGTCAATGATGACTGCAGGCTTTCAGCTGAAACTGCTGGCTGATCGGGTTTCAGGAGAACGGTCTATCAGCTGGATTTGGCTTCTCCGGGGGCATCTGTAAAATCTTCTCATTACAAACACTAAGGTGACATAAGCATTCATGTTTATGCAACATTAATTTGCAAATCAGCTGCACAACAACAGCTGGATAATCAGACCAGACATCTACATACAACTATATAATGGCGGTGCAGACAGCCTGGAGTGCCAAGGTTGCCCATCCCGATCTAATGTCTACAACCAGATATTTATTGTAACATTTTAAAAGACTGCAGCTAAATCTTTTTTCACGTTTCGACCAATTGAGAAAAGGTTTTTATTGCTGTCTTTGTCCTGAAGTGGAATAGCAAAGGACCAGCGACGGAGGAGGCAGAGAGCGATCAAGGCTGACAGGTAAGAGGGCTTGACCAGCCCACCTGAGACCCAGCAGAGCCTACCATAGAGAGTCTGTGGTGGGCTCTGCAGGGTCACTCTCATTGGGTTGTTTGGGATATCAGGCGGGCGTAACTAGAATTCACAGGGTCCCATACAAAATGTTTCTATGGGGCCCTGTGATTTTTAGTTATGCCCCTGATTATAACCCTTCTCAATTACATCCAAACCCTTCTCAGTTTTATCCAAAACCAATATAAATGTCTTGGCCGGGTTTTTACTTCAAGGCACATGTTACAGGTACTTTAGGAATCTTAGACACAAACAGGATGATACACAGAGGTTAGCGTAACCTATACTTTACACCCATATGAAATCCAGTTGACTGGTTTGTATGTATTTGACCTTTATTTGCATCCTAGTTCAGTTTATACACATAAAGCAAAATGTACCTCTTTTGGTGAGAGTATAGAGATATAATCTTCATATACATTCCTAGCCTTTTCTTCAACCAGTTTCTTGTTTTGCTCATTCTTCAAGTCTTCACATGCCAACCAGAAGAGAAGATTTTCTTCACTGTATTCTGTGCGTAAAAAATCCCGGAAGAGATTTCTTCCAGCGGGACTGTTCATCATTTTATCAAAATTGTGAGACCAAGATATGACTTCCTCTGCAGTAGGGCTTTTGCTGAAAATCCAAATAATTACAAGGAAATCATTCTGTAATCATTGACTTATTAACCACATGACACACGTATACTTCTCTGACTTACTGATTGAAAGATCATTAATAATAATTTTAACAAAAATAAACCTGTTTAATTGATTAGCATAATTTGCATACCTACTTACATTGAAGCATTTTAATAGTTAAACCCACTTCATTGCCTATTGTAGGCTCATATTAAATGCATTACTTATACTCTACTGGATAGGGTTCCCCAGTCTTACAGCATTTACTAACTTTCTACTGGCAGTACTGTAATGTCCTTGCACTTTATCTTGGCAGATCTTGGAGGAAAAGCTAAGGACTCTGTTAAAGTGTATACATAGCCAAAACTGTTTTTATTTTAACTTATTGATTATACTATATAAGTCCTGGTGACCACTGTTACCAAGACAGAAAGTGATGGGAAATCCAAAATGTAAGAGCTATCAACTGAACTAGAGGTGAAGGTAATTATTCCAATGGGGACACGTGTTCCAGTGAAAACTGTCTAAGAGAGGAATTCCCCTCTCTTTGTAGAGATTTTCTCTCAATTCCTGTTGCGGCTCCAGGGCCAGAAATGCAGGAAAATCTCCCCATCGCACAGACAGCACAAAATACAGGTGTATCAACCCTTCCCTATTCTATACAAAATTTAAAAAAAAATGGCTATACATACAATTTAAATCACAACTCGCTATGTAATGAAAAGGACTGGTTAAAGTGACACTAAACCCGCAAGTTAAATCTTAAAAATGCATCTAAGTACCTGAACTATTAACAATATTGTACCTTATTTGTGTATCCTTCGGCTGTAGATCCTCAAATCAGCTCTGAATTGGTGCTGGCACTGTCCTTCCTTCTGGAGGGTGGCTATCTTTGTTCCCCATGGTCCCTGTGTGTGTGTGTTGTAAAGTAGATTATACCTTCAATACAAATTAGCTAAGTAAATGTGAGATTGTAGTCCATGACGGGAGTGATCTTGGAGCGGTGGATACTTTACAACACACACACAGAGACCATGGGGAACACAAGTAGACTATAGTCATCTCTCTTTTCTGTCATGAATAGAAAAACATTCAGTGCGGGGGCCCCACACTGCAAGGGTAAAGTGCTAATTTTCGTCTAGGAACTAAAATAAAAAAGTTATACTCCCCTGATCCCCCGAGCTGGCCGGCTGTCACAGTACCCCCTCCTGCTTGTCTCTTCCTATGCGGCACCGATGGTACGTCCCTCTGCATTCTCATGTCCATACACTGTGTATAGAACGTGATGACTCAAGGACCTTAGACCGCTGGAGTGGAGGGGGAAAGACGCTAGAAGGACCGGTCTAAGAGCTAGCTGCCTCCGAGGATCGGGTAAGTATAACTTTTCTATTTTAGTCCCAAGACAAAAACAAGCAGTTAACCCTTGCAGTGTGAGGGCAGTCCCACTGCAAGGGTTAATATTTTTCCCCCCCAGAGTGCTGCTTTAACCACTTCAAGTCTGCGGTGTTAAACCCCCTTCCCCTCCAGGCCATTTTTCAGTGTTCAGCGCTGCAGTACTTTGATTGACGTTTATTCCGTCATGCAACGCTGCACTGAAATACATTTTATACCATTTTTTGGGGACAGATAGAGCTTTCTTTTGGTGGTATTTAATCACCACTGGGTTTTTATTTTTTACTATATTAAGGGAAAAGTACACAAATTTTTTTTTTTAAACTGTTTCCCCTATATTAAATGATAAAACATTTATTACCCAATTTTTGGTAAAATATAAAAGACGGGGTCACGTCGGGTAAAAAGACACAAAACATGTCAAGCCTTAAAATTGCGCGCGCAAAACCTCAAAGAACTACAATACCCAAAATTGGCCATAGGCGACGCTTTAAAAGCTTTTACTGCTCATCAGTGATTGATGGCCATAAAATGATTGCTCTTACTCTGACGTTCGCGACGATATGTAACATGTGTAGCGCAATTGTCATTTTCGCATTCTGGCGCAGCAAACGCGTATTTACGTTTATATGTGCGTAAATGTGGGGGTGGGGGACTTAAAAATGGGGAGGTTTAACTTTTCTATGTGACTTTGTTTTATTGTTTTACTCTTTTTATGTTTTTTTTACACTTATTGTTATTGCTATTACATAGGGGGATAACAATCCCCCTATATAATAGCAAAGGCACACTGACAGGTCCTCTCAGGTTGGTGATTCCAATCTAAAATATAAACAATCAACATCCCCCCCTCAGCGGGCCTCGGTAAAATTATCAAACCTTGACCGGTCCGCGGCGATAAAAAGGTTGGGGAGCACTGATGTAGAGGGTGGAGTCTGCTGGCCACTCCCACAGCTCTGCTCTCTATAATGCTTTGTGCAGCATAGTGATGGTGCCACTGCTGCTTTTAAATAATAATTTCTGGGTTTTTACAAAAGGCATTTGGTGCGCACAAAGTGGATAATTATCCTTTGTGGCCATTTAGAAATATATTTAAATAAAAGTTCTTGTGCCCAGAGATCAGCTTTAACTTGGAAGATGTTCTATCCATGCTCAACCCACAACTAAATTACTTGTTTCAGGGGCTCATTGTTTATATTCTCACATCTACCAACATAAAATTTAGAATTTAAACTTTTAAAACGTTTTTAGCTTGTTTTGGATGGACTTGGGAAGGGTAAATACTGTCAGGTGATTATTCCTGTCGCTGACCCCGTGGGAAAATTTCACCTCATTCCTGTCCATGTGACAGCAGGAAATGAAATGAGGGGAGTGGTTCTTACTAGGACAGGAACAGATGGATATTAGGAATACCCTGATAGTGGTTCCGAATGTTATAGACAAAAAGTATTTTCTTGTAGGGGTGACATTTCATGTTGCAAAGAATACCCAATCATAAGCAAGGAACTGTACATTTGCTTGCACAGGATTAGGTGATGGAAGTCATTAGAGTGTCACCTCATTCACTAAACTAAGATGAATCCTCCCCTGCAAAGTGCAAATTTCCTTTCAAAGTGAACAGCCTATTTGCCTTTAGTAAATCAACCCCATTGTCCATACTGGAGAGATTCCCCATCCCTTTCTGTCGCAGCAGGAAATATAAAGTAATACGTACCTGACATGGGTTCATTGCTTCCCCCCTCTGTCCACAACTAAAACAAGCTTTGGCTGGAGTTGTGCTTTAAACCTTATGTAAGTCCAGTCACTAAAATCTCAGACGTGTTGATATATTCACATAATGTCAAAAGTCATTTTTTACATTTTTGCAGTTTTTACTAAAATAATACCTGGTGATCCCGCCATGTAGATCCTTATTCAGGCACTTGCTGTTGTAAGGGTGACAATGCATGAGCTCAACTGGGATACAGAGTGTTATCACCCTACACGGGCTTCCAATGGAGAATATAGCTGTCCATTTCAACATACATTAGGCAGGCGTTATTCACTGTAGTCACCAGCAAAAAACCCACTCTTAGGCCTGGTTCACACCTGGGCGTTTTACAGCGCGTTCCTATACTCTGTAAAACTCTGAACATGTGAAAACCAATGATTGCCTATGGGCATGGTTCCCACCTGGGCGTTTTACAGTGTACAGGAGCTTCTTTAGGGCCTATTTGCCGCGTGTATCCATTGGGATACAGCCAGATAGTCCTCGGAAACGCGCGTTTGGTGCTCGTTTTATTATCGCGAATCGCTGTAAAAACGGGCGGCACAAATGCGCATATTCGATACGCCTAGGTGTGAACCCAGCCTAAGGCTAAATTCACACCTATAGTTTAGGTGTGTTTAGGGATACCTGCATCAGGAATGCCAAATCTGCCATCTACAAGCGGTAGCTGTCACATGTTCGAGTTAATGATTGAGTGACAGTGGTTGCATTTGAAAGCAGCAGAACGTGGGCACACCGCATGTAATCGTATGTGATACAATTACATGCAGTTAGGAATCAATCACTATCCCTGGACGCCCGTTCGATGAGTAAATGGATGTAAATGGTGAATATTAAAATGGCGTAATTCATGAAAAAATAACGGCAATCGTTTCTGATACATAGAGCTTTTGCAAACAATATAATTCAGTAAGGGTTTACATCTACTTGAAATAATATAAATGAGACAAATTAGCATTTAGATTCATTAATTACTTCCCTTTACCCTGCAGTCTTAACTGTTTTCCAAAGTTGTCTAACACTAATACGTTTGTATAAGAGCAACAAGCTACACTAAAACCATGATGCCATGTAATTTATACATATTTAATATGTCCATAATATAATAACAAGGCATGCTTGTCTGTAGATATGTACAGTATTTGGTCAGATTTTTTTTCATTGGTACACATTGCTGCCGTTTTTCCCACTCTTAACTTATTTTCAGTGGGCACATAACTTAAGGTCCTGCATTGTAAACATATATTTGATTCCCAAGAAACACTGAGTTTTAAATAGCTGTTTTTAAACAGTCTGATCTCAGATTGTTGGCTGCCTCGCTATATGAGCTTAAACCATAGTTTGGGTTCTGGCCAAAACAAAGATGTGCTTTACCTTCCCAGAGCTAGAGGATTTCCCAGACTCAGATGCTGTGGGAATCTTGGTAATCCAAATTCTTTAAATGTGCCACTCTGTATTCTATGAACGCTTCAATGCTCACTAAAGTACATGTAAGGCATCCTACCTTAATGTGTATCTAAACCCAAGAACAAAAATGATCAATTACTGCAGCTTACTAGTCCTTCGATGAGGTGACTGCATTCGTTTTTTTTCCTTTATGTTCGCCTGCTGATCCTGCCAGTGACACACTTCCTCTACTAGGTTGACAACACTCACTCAATGTAGGAGCAGTGTTGTCACCCTAGGTTAGGAAGTGTTTTAGGGCTACAGATTACCTCCCCCTCTACCCTTCTTTAAAAAACATATAGCGGAGACGTGAAAGCCTTCCTTTAACAATGCAGAAGCTTCCTGTACATATGTGGTAATTGGGACGGTACATGCTCCCACTATCCACA